CATCCAAACAGTGTACACTGTACCCATTACGTGGTATTTTATTCCTCACCCCACTTCCACCCTTCCCCTTGACATCCCAAGGTTCATATCACTCTGTATGTCTCTGTGTTCTCATAGCTTAGCTCCTACTTATAAGTAAGAATATACAGTATTTGGTTTTCCATTCCTGACTTACTTCACTTAGAATAATGGCCTCCAGCTCCATCCAAATTGTTGCAAAAGGCATTACTGCTCTTTATTTTTAAGATCCTCAGTCTTACTTTGTAGATAGTCATTATCACTATGAAATCTATCACTACCCAATCTTCTCAGCCTTTTCTAATCCTGGGAAATTGTATAGATCATGACTATGAGATTAACCTTTTAAATTCCCAGATCTGAACTCAGTATCAAAACTCTTTCATAGCTAGTTGGGGTTTACTCTCCCAGCATTAGAATTTCCTAGGACAGTTTATCTCCAACCCTAGGTAAGAATGTTTCTCTTGATGAACTTCCTTGCCTGTTCATGTTCACAGTTGATTCTTGAAGCCATTTACCTCCTTTTCTTTCAACAATCTTAGTTGCTAAATTTCTTCCCTAAATTAAGCCTATTACCTTGTGTGTCAAGAGTCTCAGTAATTATTCCTTCATATAGAGACATTTCTCTCAGTTAATTTCTTTTTCCTTTTGAGACAGAGGATTGCTAACTTGGTCTCCATGAAATACATTAACTCCTTTTTTCCAAGCTTTATTCCTGAAGAAAACATTTCAAAAACCAGGAAACCAATGTTTTAAAACATTAGACTTTCAGGACTGGATGAGTTCTCTGAGAGGGAGCCCAATTCACTCAGGCTGGAGGGGTTAATTGACTTGCCCACAGTGACACGTCCAGGTAGTAGCATTGCTGGGAGTAACACCCAAAATATTAAAAAGAGAAAAGAAGAGCCCCATCAAGCCCTTCATCCCAACCCGCCTATTAAAAAAAAAAAAGAAAAGAAAAGAAGAAATATTTTCATCATAATGCAAATAAGTCACAAGAAAAAGATAGAAAGAAAAGACACATTTTTGGCCATGACCCAAGAAACAGAGTTAATGACATCAGTAGCTTACATTTGTTGAGTGATTTCTGTTTGTTAGGCACTGTGCTAACCCTTTCTTATTCACATTTTATTAATTATCACAACTCTTTTGAGGTAAGTATTCTTGTTACACCAGTTTTACAAATGAGGGAGTTGACAAGTTTAAGAGATTAAATATATTGATAAAAGGGCAGAGCCAGAATTTGAACCCAATTCTCTGAGTTGGAAACCTGTGTTTTTAACCAGTATATTTCAGTATAAGGCCTGGTATGTTTATGTGTGGTTTTCTTCTGATGAAATTTCTCTTAAGCAAAAGGCCGTCTATTAACCCAGCAGGGAACCTTCCTGGACTCAAATCAGGGAAAGCTCAGAGAAGAATAGGTAGGGGGATGGAAAGAGGCTCCCAGGATGAGTGGTTGGCCCCTTTCACTACCACTCCAGGGAACAATTAGTGCTCAGAAATGTTGAGCTCTAATGATTGCTGGGCTTTTTACGTTGGACCCTGGAGTGAGTGGCAGAGGGCAGCCTCTTGGAGAAAGAATGTGGCTACCCCTGCCCATTAAAATAATGAACTCCCACAGGCCATTTATTTGGAAGACTTGTTAACAAAGGAGCAGGGATTCCAGAAGCATGTTTTACAATTTATATGAGAGGCCAAAGCATAAGAAATGGACAGAACCAGAAACCAGGCATGGAGCAGTGGGAAATGCAGATGACCCGGTTTGCAAAAGATGTTATGGCAGCAAAGCGACCAGTGTTTCTTCTGTTGTAGCACAAGATTGTAGGACCCTTCTGCCCAGCGCAATGCAGCAAGTCCAGCTCATTCCCTCCTACTTCATCCATCCAGCCGCAAATCACAACTAGACATTTACAGCCTATGCTACCTTTTATTTGTAAAAGGGGCACAGTAACGCTGCCACTTCTTGAGTCTATTAGGATAATTAAATGGGTTTATAGAAATCAAGAATTAAGAACAGTACCTGGCATACAATAAGTACTAAGTAAGTGTTTGATTATATTATTATATTGTGATTGTTATTATATTATTGTTTGTGATTATATCATATATTACATGTTTTGTTATTATAATAATAACAGGCCAAATATAGTAAGTCATAGGCCAAACACTTCTGCCAAACTCTGAGGATAACTGGTGGAAAACATCTATTTATTCAACAAAATATTTACTGAGTGCCTATGTCCTTCCCAAGCCCCATTCTTGGTACTCATGATGAAACCGCCTTTGCAAAATTACAACTGAGGAAATTGTGACAGTCAGAGAAATTATACCTAATTGACTCCACCTTGCTTCTAACTGTTAAGCTATCTTTTTCCATTCTTGGGCATAGGCTGAAGTAACTTTGGAAAGAAATTCAGTTTATGATTTGACTGTGAAACAAAATTAATAGCAGCCCTTTCTTGAAGAGACCCTCTTTTTGCCTGGGGACCAGTCTGCCTTTGCAAGACTAACAAATTAGCTGCAAGATTAGAAATTACAGTTTACGGGTCATGCAGCCTCTGACTCCAAGAGTCTGAACCTTCCCGAATTGCTCCTGGGGATAACATCACTATTGTAAAAGCTAATGTCAGTGTTTGAGATAGTTTGCAGCCCCTGCACTGGATGGATCAGCTGACAGTACCCAGACCGGTGAACTGGCTCAACCAGTTCTGCCATCCCACCCAGGAACAGAAGACAGCAAGAAAAACTCACCTGGACCCGCTGTGATTCCATCTCCAACTTGATCAATCAGCGCTCTCCACTTCCCAAGCCCCTACTCGCCAAATTATCTTTAAAAACTCTGATCCCTGAATGCTTGGGAAGACTAACTAGAGTAATAATGAAACTCCAGTCTACCGGCTCTATATGAATTACTCTTTCTCCATTGCAATTTCCCTGTCTTGATAAATGAGCTCTGTCTAGGCAGCCGGCAGGGTGAACTCATTGGATAGTTACAAGGATAGATCAGTAAACCAAATGGACAAAACTCCCTGCCTGCCTTTGAGTAACTGACATCCTGGTAGGGAAGATTTCACCAAGCTAAGAGATACCAAATTCATCTTTCTTCCTTTTTGATAGGATTAAATAGATTGATGTTTTAGTGAAGAGCAAGCTAGGCTCTTCTTGGTTTTGACTGCTTGGCCAGTGACTTTTGAGATTAGAAATTTGTAAAAAGCACAAAACTAGGGGAAGTTTTTAATATGACTAATGACAGAGAACCACAGTTACCATTGGGTACAAACATGCATGGGCAAACAAATTCCATACAAATGATAAAATACAGCAACCTTAATTTCACCACCAAGTCTTTCTCTGGGCACTTCTGCCTCTTTATACCCATTTGTATTTCCTAATTTTTTAAAAACAATTTTCTTTTTTTTGAGACAGGGTCTCACTCTTTCATCCAGGCATGAGTGCAGTGGTGCCGTCACAGTACACTGAAGCCTAGACCTCCTGGGTTCAAATGATCCCCTCAACTCAGCCTTCCAAGTAGCTGGGACTAGAGGTACCACACGCCGCTAATTTTTTTTTTTAGATGGACTCTCGTTCCGTCACCAGGCTGGAGTGCAGTGGTGCGATCTTGGCTCACTGCAACCTCCACCTCCCGGGTTCAAGTGATTCTCCTGCTTCAGCCTCCCAAGTAGTTGGGACTGCCATGCCACCAAGCCCAGCTAATTTTTATATTTTAGTAGAGACGGGGTTTCGCCATGTTGCCCAGACTGGTTTCAAATTCCTAAGCTAAAGCAGTTGGGCTGCCTCCACCTCCCAAAGTCCTGGGATTACATGAGTGAGCCACTGCACCAGTCTGGTTTTTTTTTTTTTTCATTTTGATCTTACATCAGTGCCAGTCTGTGTTTCTTAACTGCCGGATATACATGGGCTTATCTCTTGTCTTCATAGTGATCATCTGATCGAATCAAAGTTGTCCCTTGCTTATCACTGTCTTTAAATACTGAATGAAACTTCTCCTCCTTGCTGCTTTTCTTGCCCAGGAAATATTGATTGCTGTTGGTTCTTGACCAGCATGCTCAGCCCATCTCAGTCAGCTTAGGTACTGCTCCCTTTTCCCTTTCATGGAGACATGTTCATATCCCTTCTTTCCTATAATTGCGCTGACTGTGCTAGTCCAAATTTTGATTGTTCTATGAATTTTGTGCAATGACTTGTATTAAAGACATTACATAATTAGAATAAATTTTCTGGTCTTAAGCATGCTAAGTGTGTGCATATATATATATGTATGCACAAACATATACATATATACAATTATCCCTGCATGTACATACATATAACATACATACACAAATATACATATACACACAACACACACACACAAACACACTTTTTTTCCCCACTTAGTTTTACTACCTAGAAGAACAGATTGTTAGACTGTTGCATGGATTTCCTCCCCCAAAATGGAACACGTCAAAAATTATGGCCCATTGTATTCAGTTCCCTTCTTTTGAGTTATTATACTAAAGATCTATAACAAATAAAATGCCTAACTTTATTTACTTTATTTATTTATACTTTATTTTCAAGTCAGAAAGACTAAAAAAGCCACAAGGAGCCCAAGTTCAAAGCGGTACTTCAAACTCATCTGATTCAACCCTCTCATTTCCCATTTGGGAAAATGAGAATCTGGAGAAGTGACATTTTCAAAGCCCCAGCAGGTTTATGAATGGAGCCGAAGACAAAACTCAGGCTTCCAACTTCCAGTCAGTTTCTACTTTATTGTTAGATGGATTCTCTTTTGGTCAACAAGCATAGAGCCTATGGATTATTCTAGGCTGACTTCCTCTGAAAAGTCTTGGCCTAGCAGGTGGCTAGGCTTTAACTGGGTGTTGTTTTACTGGGTGCTGACTGTTTGCATGATCTTCCAGGAAATACCCCCTCTTATAATAACAAACAAAATCTAACGACAAGATTCTTCTTTCCTTTATGCAGGAGGCAGGCCTATGGCTGTAGGAAGGAACAACACAATTGTGACAAAATTCATCCTGCTGGGACTTTCAGACCATCCTCAAATGAAGATTTTCCTTTTCGTGTTATTTCTGGGGCTCTACCTCCTGACGTTGGCCTGGAACCTATGCCTCATCACTCTAATCAGAATGGACTCTCACCTGCATACACCCATGTACTTCTTCCTCAGTAACCTGTCTTTCCTGGACATCTTCTATGTGTCCTCCACTGCCCCTAAGATGCTCTCTGACATCATCACAGAGCAGAAAACCATTTCCTTTGTTGGCTGTGCCACTCAGTACTTTGTGTTCTGTGGGATGGGGCTGACTGAGTGCTTTCTCCTGGCAGCTATGGCTTATGACCGGTATGCTGCAATCTGCAACCCCTTGCTTTATACAGTCCTCATAACCCATACACTTTGTTTAAAGATGATGGTTGGTGCCTATGTGGGTGGATTCCTTAGTTCTTTCATTGAAACATACTCTGTCTATCGGCATGATTTCTGTGGGCCCAATATGATCAACCACTTTTTCTGTGACCTCCCTCCAGTCCTGGCTCTGTCCTGCTCTGATACCTTCACCAGCCAGGTGGTGACCTTCACAGTGGGTGTTGTCGTTGGAATAGTCTCTGTGCTAGTGGTCCTCGTCTCCTATGGTTACATTGTTGCCGCTGTTCTGAAGATCAGCTCAGCTACAGGTAGGACCAAGGCCTTCAGCACTTGTGCCTCTCACCTGACTGCTGTGACCCTCTTCTATGGTTCTGGATTCTTCATGTACATGCGACCCAGTTCTAGCTACTCCCTAAACAGGGATAAGGTGGTGTCCATATTCTATGCGTTGGTGATCCCCATGGTGAATCCCACCATCTACAGTTTTAGGAATAAGGAGATTAAAAATGCCATGAGGAAAGCCATGGAAAGGAGCCCCATGATTTCTCACAGTCGACCATTTTTATGACCTTGGGCTAATGTTTACAGTGAAGCTGTGAGCTGGGTCAATTGTGCAGACATTTACGTAATTTTGAACTAGTTGATCTATAGAAGGAGTTATTGTGAATTGGGCTTTTTTCCCACTTCCTAAGATTTCAATTTGGCCATTGTTGCTTTGTAAAATGAATAGCATTGTACAGTTTGAGGTTTTAAATGCTCTGTTTAGCAGAAAACTTCACCACGACAAAAACACCCTGGAATAGCAAAACAGAGTTTATTTGTATAGCAGGAGAATCTTGAAAAAATGTTAGTCCAGCATTTAGTGTGGTGATCTTTAGGGTATGACAGGGTGTACCGACGTGAAGAGGATGATGCTTTTTCTAAACACAGTTTTCCTTCTTCTGAAATTCTCAAATGCTTTCATTAGAGCTCTTGAAAACCACAGGCAGACACCTTCCCATGTTTCAGAATCATGGCGGTATAAGCCCCAGTGACTGATGGGAGAGTTTTAATACTCTTTAGCTGCATGAAGGCAGGAATTCTGATTTGGGCCTTGATATAATTTGGATATTTGTCCCCACCCATATCTCATGTCAAATTGGAATCTCCAGTGCTGGAGGTGGGGTCTGGTGGGAGGTGTTTGAATCCTGGGAGGTATATTCCTCACTGCTTGGTGCTATATTCATGATAGTGAGTTCTTGAGAGAGCTGGTCATTTAAAAGTGTGTAGCACTCCTCCCTGCCCGCACCACTTTCTCTCTCCTCTCACTCTGTCTCTCTCTTGCTCGGGCTTTTGCCATGTGATATGTCTGCTCCCCCTTTGCCTTCTGTCATGATTGTAAGCTTCCTGAGGCCTCCCTAGAAGCTGAGCTGATGCCAGCACCATGCTTCCTGTAAAGCCTGAAGAACTGTGAGCCAATTAAATCTCTTTATCAATTACCTAGCCTAAGGAATATTTTTACAGCAGTGCAAGAACAGACTAGTATAGGCCTTAATGACTGAACAAACAACTCTTGGCCAATTCAATCAACTACAAAAAGAGGTCACTAAAACAATTTAAATAAAACCAAGGAATTTATTGCTTAAGCCCAAAGTGACAGCTTTCTAACCAACAATTAATGTTTCTTAGGAATCTAAAGGGAAGCATACACTCATTTGGAATGAAAAGTTCTCTATTTTTGCCAGGGTTGTGATAAATTATAGAAGAGAACTTAGCTAAGGCGTTGAAGAAAATAATTTTTCTCCTCTACATTTTCTCAGAACTTGTTATGTGTCTTTGAGCTGGCAGTAAAGAACTCGAATAAATTTATTCAGCTGTGGCCTTTCTTGGGTAGGCCATAAATAAGTGAGTAAATAATATCTGCCTCTGTCTTTTAAAAATTTTTTATTATTATACTTTAAGTTCTGGGGTACATGTACAGATCATGCAGGTTTGTTACATAGGTATACACATGCCATGGTGGTCATTTGCTGCATCTATTGCCTCATCATCTACATTAGATATTTCTCCTAATGCTACCCCTCCTCAATCCCCCACCCCCTGCTATTCCTCCCCTAGACCCCAACCCCCAGGCTCCAGTGTGTGAAATTCCCTCCCTGTGTCTGTGTGTTCTCATTGTTTAACACCCACTTATTAGTGACGATGTCAAACAGGGACAATTTGACATCTTCTCTTCCTATTCTCTTCTTGTGTCAGTTTGCTGAGAATGATGGTTTCCAGTTTCATCCATATCTCTGCAAAGGACAGGAACTCATCCTTTTTTATGGCTATATAGTATTCCACAGTGTATATGTGCCACATTTTCTTTATTCAGTCTATCATTGATGGACATTTGGATTGGTTCCAAGTCTTCGCTATTGTGAACAGTGCTGCAATAAACACATGTGTTCATGTGTCTTTATAATGGAACAATTAATAATCCTTTGGGTATATATCCAGTAATGGGATTTCTGGGTCAAATGGAATTTCTATTTAATTTTTACACTCCTAGGAACTGTGCAAAATTGTTCCTATTTCTCCACATCCTCTCCAGCATCTGTTGTTTCATGATTTCTTATTGATTGCCATTCTAATTGGTGTGAAGTGGTATCTCAATGTGGTTTTGATTTGCATTTCTCTAATGATGAGTGATGATGAGCTTTTTTTCATTTGTTTGTTGGCTGCATAAATGTCTTCTTTTAAAAAGCATCTGTTCATATCCTTTGTCCACTTTTTGATAGGGTTGTTTTTTCTTGTAAATTTATTTAAGTTGTCCATAGATTCTAGACAGTAGCCCTTTGTCAAATGGGTAGATTGCAAATTTTTTTTCCCATTCTGTTGGTTGCTGGCTCACTCTAGTCATAGTTTCTTTAGATGTGCAGAAGCTCTTAAGTTTAATTAGATTCCATTTATCTATTTTGGCTTTTGTTGCCATTGCTTTTGGTGTTTTAGTCATGAAGTCCTTACCCATGTCTATGTCCTGGATGGTACTGCCTAGGTTTACTTCTAGAGTTTTTATGGTGTTAGGCATCATGTTTATATCTTTAATCCATCTGGAATTAATTTTTATATAAGGTATAAGAAAGGGATCCAGTTTCACCTTTTTGCATATGGCTAGCCAGTTTCCCCAATACCATTTATTAAATATGGAATCCTTTCCCCATTGCTTTGTTTTTGTCAGGTTTGTCAAAGATCAGATGGTTGTAGTTGTGTAGCATTCTTTCTGAGGCCTCTGTTCTGTTCCATTGGTCTATATATCTGTTTTGGTACCATGCTGTTTTGATTACAGTAGCCTTGTAATATAGCTTGAAGTCAGGTAGCATGATTCCTCTGGCTTTGTTTTTTTGCTTAGGATTGTCTTGGCTATGTGGGCTCTTTTTTGGTTCCATATGAAGTTCAAGTTGTTTTTTTCTATTTCTCTGAGGAAGGTCATTGGTAGCTTGATGGCAGTAGCATTGAATCTATAAATTACTTTGGGTGGTATGGCCATTTTTACAATATTGATGCTTCCTAACCATGAGCATGGAATGTTTTTCCATCTGTTTGTGTCCTGTCTTATTTCCTTGAGCAGTGGTTTTAGTTCTTGAAGACGTCCTTCACATATCTTGTTAGTTGTATTCCTAGGTATTTTATTCTCTTTGTAGCAATTGTGAATGGGAGTTCACTCATAATTTGGCTTTCTGTTTGTCTGTTATTGGTGTATAGGAATGCTCGTGATTTTTGCACACTTATTTTGTATCCTGAGACTTTGCTGAAGTTCCTTACCAGCTTAAGGAGATTTTGGGCTGAGACAATGGGGCCATCTAAATATACAATCATATCATCTGCAAACAGGGACAATTTGATGTCTTCTCTTCGTATTTGAATACACTTTATTTCTTTCTCTTGCCTGATGGCCCTAGCCAGAACTTCCAATAATATGTTGAATAGGAGTGGTGAGAGAGGACATTCTTGTCTTGTGCCAGTTCTCAAAGGGAATGCTTCCAGTTTATACCCATTCAGTATGATATTGGCTGTGGGTTTGTCATAAATAGCTCTTATTATTTTGAGATACAATCCATCTATACCTAGTTTATTGAGAGTTTTTAGCATAAAGGGCTGTTAAATTTTGTCAAAGTCCTTTTCCACATCTATTGAGATAATCATGTGTTTTCTGTCTTTGGTTCTGTTTATGTGATGCATCTGTTTACGTTTATAGATTTGCAGATATTGAACCAACCCTGCATCCCTGGGATGAAGCCAACTTGATCGTGATGGATAAGCTTTTTTATGTTTTGTTGGATTCTGTTTGCCAGTACTTTATTGAAGATTTTTGCATCAATGTTCATCATGGATGCTAGCCTGAAATTTTCTTTCTTAGTTGTGTCTCTGCCAGGTTTTGGTATCAGGATGATGTTGGTCTCATAAAATGAGTTAGGGAGGATTCCCTCTTTTTATATTGTTTGGAATAGTTTCAGAAGGAATGGTACCAGCTCCTCTTTGTACCTCTGGTAGAATTCGGCTGTGAACTCATCTAGTCCTGGAATTTTTTTGGTTGGTAGGCTGTTAATTGCTGCTTTAACTTGCGACTTTGTTATTGGTCTATTCAGTAATTCAACTTCTTCCTGGTTTAGTCTTGGGAGTGTGTAAGTGTCCAGGAATTTATCCCTGGACAAGGCAAGTTGCTTTGACTCTGGATGTCTCAGATCCTCATCATAAAATACAAATTACAATAGTAATTTACTCTTAGGAGTGTTATGAGGAATTAAATGAGTCAGTACATGTAAATACTTAGAAAACTGCATTGAGAATAGAAAATGTCCAAGAGGTGCTATTACTATTATTATTATTATATAATGCTTAATTATTATCCAAATCAAAAAATAGTAGAGATTTCCTTAGTTTGATAAGAAATGTAATCTTTGCAATGGGTTTATTGCAATAGAAAGGATCTGGAGTGACTTTTGCAAAGAAGGTTAAGAATATTCATTTTTAAGTCATCAGACCTGAGATTATTAATTTCATCTCTGCCATTTTGTAGGTACATAACCTGATCCACGTTATTTACAAACTCTATTTTCCTCATCTGTGAAATAAGGATCATTTCATGTAGCTACCTGAGGACTAAGCTCTGATTTTTTTTATCTTGCCAAAATTCCTTTCTAAGGAGTCTAGGGCATCATACCCTGCAAACCATAAATTCTTATCAGATGGGTTTTATTTAACCCTATATATTGTGACTTACTTTCCAATCTGACTCTGGCATAACAAGGAAGAAAATCAAAATGTTTTATCCTAAAATACATTTCCTTGCCATACCTGGAAATTGCCCTGAGTAGTCTCTTGTGGGAAAAATCCACATTCTATAGAGAATCTCCTTTCCCCTTTGTTTTCCTTCCTTTCTTCCCAGATCCAGGAAACAATCAACTAAGAGCCAGGTGCCCTTTTATTTAGTCTGTTAAGAAACAATTTATAACCTGCTCTCTCTGTTGTCTACTATCTGAGAGGTTCTTCTGCACAGTAACACTTGGTCTCTACAGTCTTTTACCATAACCTGAACATTCCTTTCCATTAATCCCAGGCCTTCAGACAAACTCAACCAATTGTCTGCCAGAAAATGTTTAAATTTACCTACAGCCTGGAAGCTCCCACTTTGAGTTGTCCCGCCTTTCTGAATGAAACCAATGTACTTCTTAAACGTATTTGATTAATGTCTCATGCATCCCTAAAATATATAAAGCCAAGCTGTACCCCGACCACCTTGGGAACATGTTCTCATGACCTCCTGAGGGCTGTGTCAGGGCCCATGATCACTCAGATTTGGTTCAGAATAAATCTCTTGAAATATTTTACAGAGTTTGACCCTTTTCGTCAACGTACCCCATAAAATTAGTACAACAATTAAGTGAGAATATGCATAAAGAGGGCTTAGTCCAGTGACTGGCATATGGTAATACTTAGTACATGTTAACTTATATTATTAGTCAATATTTTTACTAAATTTATATAAATCAAGAAAAAGTCAGGGTAATGTGTTAAAAGGAGACCAAGGAAATAGGGTTTGGGTATCCACTCCACCTGAGACATATCAATCTCAGCAAAGAGGCACACTCATACTTATTATCTCTGTGATTTCTCTCAGAAGCAGTTCTTAGGGAATTAGAGTGAGCTTGGCTTCACAGATGTGGCCATTTTGCCAACTCTATCAGCTGTCTGGATGCCTCTCCCATTTTCCTTATAGCTTTTTTTTTGTCCTACACCTTTTTTGACCTGTACTCCAACTCACTATCCTTCAGTTTATCAGTTTTCAAAATTGTAGTTAATCTTAAGTCCTCCTAACGTCAAAAGTCATTGAAACAACACAACTAACTAATGAAACTGTCTTGTGGTTTGGATTTACATGGAGCTATTATCAGTCTTACTCATCTTTAAACTGTTTTGATGAACAGAGATTCTAAATACAAAATCTTCATAAAAATTTTTCTTGTTCAACCACATATATATCTACCAGTAATGGAAATTTTCTCATTGCACTGAGAAGATATAAGGTACTTTTGCAGTCTTCCCAACTACCAATAAGCATGCAAGTCTTATTAATAGCAATTAATTCTAATGCATAAGATAGAGATTGGTTGTGAGACTTGAATGTTTTGGGGTTTACGGTAAGGCACATATTAAATGTTTCCTAAGTAAGTATATTTATTATGGGGCATATAATCAGACATACATTAAATGGAATATTTTGGGCCCTAAAGGAATCAGGTGTTTTATAGCCATCTGAAGTAGGAGGAGGTTAAACTTTCCCGGGAGGACTAGCTAGCTGGAGATAGAATTCACTTTAGTAAAATTATCATCATCCAGGGTGTGGCACTCATGTTTGCAACTTCCAAAAATCTTTTCCAGATGGACTGAAGCTAACTAAGCTCAGAATAGCTAGCTGCATATGCCAGAATGACAGATTTAATTTTCAGTGAAGAACAAAGCTGCCAAGCTTGTACT